TCTAACTCTTTATGCACTTCATCATCAACGAAACCAGCAAAACGACTAAATAGATAAAACCTTATACTTGACACAACCTTTGTGAATATGTAGATAAGCAGAAAAGAAATTTTGGAAAAAATACCATGTAATTTCATCATGCATTTAACAAACCTGAATCAATTGATTTCGATGATTATCCAGCTGAAATGAAAAAATGAAAAAAAAATGTTCAATGGTTTTAGATTGCCATGCATTCAAGACGTAAATGTTTATCGATCAAACAAAGAAAGTTGCTGGCAATTTTTCTACCTGAATGTTGATGTAGTCTTCTGTGTTATCAATATATTCAACCTGCTGCAAAATTTAAAGTAGAGAACTGTCAAAATTGAGAGGGAAAGAAGATAGTGATCTAAGATGTGGCATTAACTCCCCGGGTAGACCCCTTGTATAGTGAGTATTATGCATGCATAAGAAGACCATTCCATGAAAATGGCTCTTCATTCCAAACACGCAAATAGTTTAATCAGATTAGCGTTCCCTTCGGATCTTGGAAGTCAGTGAGGGAACATGACATAAACCTTTTCCAGACTGGTGTTCTAAAAGGAAACACAAAGTAGAGGCATATATAAAATTATTATGGGAGAAAACTGCCTATTTATAAATTTATTTATTTCCTTTTTCACGATGTTCAACAAGCATATATAAACATAATTCCAGTAGACATCTGCCAATTTATATTTTCCATTTCCATGACATTCAACAACAATCAAAAGTTCTCAAATATAATATTATTTTGATAGAAATGACAATTTCTTTCACCATTTTGCTTTGCCTTTTCACGTTCCTCCATGAATTCCCAAGATACCAACAGTCCATGTTTAGAATTAAAATGTGGAGTGGCAGCTCCAGAAATACTCACATTTGACAGACATCCAAAAGACCCTTGTTTTAAAAGAAAAAATAAAAATGTCCATGCTGGGAAACAAACTGTTGCCAATGAATAAAGATAACAGTTTTTTTTTTCAAAATTAATAAATAAATGATATACATACAGTAGTTAGTTTGTTCAGAGTGCCATCAATTTGCATGAAGCAGGGGCGGAGATAGGGGTGGGCTGTAGCCAACCCTTGCCCAACCCCAGGTCCTATAAAAAAAAAAAAATTGTTAACCCAGCCCAATTCCCATATAAAACTAAACCCAGTTACCCAATTCCCACCCAATTAAACCCAATTCCCACATTAAATTAAACCCAATTCCCGACCTAATTGACATAAAATCCCCAATTGAACCACAGAAGACAGCTCTGCCATTGACGATTTCTTCCTGCGAAACTCGACCGTTTGACCGTTAGCCCGTTCGCCACTTCCAGCTGTAGCCATTGACGATTTCTTTCTGCCGGAGTTTCGGCATTTGAGGTGAACCGTGAATCATTTTCATTTTGTTTTTTGTTTCTTTTACAGTTTTACTATCTGTCTACCTCCATATTTTATGTATATACAGACTACAGTTACAGATATAAATATATAATCGTATTAATTTTTGGAAATGGATGTTTATTTTGGAGTCGGAAATAGAATGGTCCAAAATCCGAATGGCAGTTTTATTTTGGAGTCGCCGCGTCGGAAATATACAAATAGTTCGTCAGTTCATGTTCTTGACTTCTTATAGAGGCGTAGAGCTGTTGAGGGGAATAGTATCTAGTTAAGTACCTTGTACCAAACAAACTTCTTGTTGAGGGGAATATTTGGATGCCAATTTCTTTTCTTCCCAATTTCAATGAAAAGTTCTCGTTCAAAACCAGT